TGAACACCACGATAGCCCTCAAGGGCATGATACATAACTCAGTCGACCACGAAGTTGAACAGCACTGGAGAAAGTGGGCTACCCTGCCGGAATCCAGTATTGATATCGAATTCCTCTGTTTCTTCTCCATAGACACGAATTCGGGCCTTCCTGCAAGTTAACGGGTTTAACCAGCACGACATCGGCAAGTAGGATTCTTCAGAGTGTTACGTGGTCAACTTAGTCAACGGCAGCTCGAAAATCAACGAAGCACACAAACGTGGGCTGCTGGAACTGGTAGCGTTGTTCGAGTACTCGACGTAGAGTGGAGATTTGGTCAGTGCAGCCTCTGCCTGGTCGAAAGCCACCTTGGTTATGGCGAGTTCACAGGTTCCTCTCATTGGCAATGCGGGAAAGCAAGATTCGTGTAAAGGTTTTGGTAGCCACATCGATTAGCCTAATCTTATGATAATTACTGCACACAGTTCGGTCACATTTCTTGAGAAATGGCAGTATTACTAAGGTACTTCACGAAGAAGGACAGATTTCGGTCTCCCATATCGAGCAGAAGAGCCCGTGCAAATGGTCAAGGAGAGCTGCTAGACAAGATTTGTAGATTTCCGCTGGAATCCCGTCCGCTCCCAGGGCTTTCTTCGGCTTCAGGTGACGAACGATGTCTGCAATTTCTGCGGGAGATGGCGGTGAGCAATCCGCGTTATATCCTGGCTGAGTTAATGCTGAAATGGGTGCGGTGGTGTGTAGTGGGCGGTTTAGGAGGTCGATAAAACACTCTACCCATCTGGAAAGTATTCTTTCCGTATCGGGGATGATTTGGCCTTCCGAATTGTGCAATATCGGATACGGTAACTGAGGATCATGTCTCCTCGAGGCCTTCGGTAGTTTATAAATGCATTCCCAAACCAAATAGTCGCTCGGGGTACGTGTGTTCGCGTAACCTAGAACTCATTCGTAAAACCTCTCTAGCTCCATTTTGTCCCCGACGAGACAGGGGTTGGACAAGTCTGGATGCAGTATTCCATATGGGGGTGAATAAAAACCGAAATCAATCTTACTAAGATATTGACCATCAAGATTCCGAAGGAACGGCGTATTAACCACAACATACAGAATCGTCACCTTGCGGTCTTCCGGTAGTCGCGCGAGTGCAAAGTCGAGGAGAGTAGGTTGCCTAGATCAACCTGATTGGAGACACGGGGGATTTCGACCGCAGTGACCAAGTACATCAAGGTCATGCGTGGATTGGATTGATCACATCGAACAGACCAATGAGCATAACAGACGATACTGGAGGCGACAACGCCATCTTGAAATGTCACTCAGAATTTGTCCAGGAGAGGATAAGAATTCTCCGGAAAATTCATTATTTAACGATTAATCGTTAGTTATCGATCACCCCATCGATTTCGAAAATCCTGGAATATTCCAGTGCCTGCACGTGACTAGTAACCTCCTGAAGATCGGCCAAATCTACATGGAACAACTAACCTTGGCGGTTGACCTTCCCATTCCGGAAGTCGATGGTCAGTAAGACCTATAAATTTAGCCAAGATCTGCTGCAGTTTTACAATTTTTGTTGACGGTGGTTAACACGTTATTTTGTCAAGGTCATTGGTATACTGCTTTTCCTTTCGGTTGGGATGGAAGTTTTGTGGAGCAGTAAAGTTTTTATTTCGGAATCGCGTCTAGTGAGGTTATAACAGAATTTATACGCATTAAATAGTTTCTAAATACAAAATTTTGACCTCTGCCTAGGCTATATTTTCACTCTCGGGGGGCTACACGACTGCGGGAGTGCAGAGCGAAATCAATTCGTTTGATCAGTTGATGCACAGCCACAAAACTTCTTTGTACTTGCTGAAGCTCACGCCTGTTCACTCATTGCCGTTTTCTGTGAATTACAATGTCACATGGATTTCGAATATTCAGCGCTTTCGAACTGGCCACTCAAATTCGGGCAATTTCATTGTTGGCTGTCTGGTGCTGCTGCTTAAATCTCCATGGAAAGGAGTCTTGTACGAGCGATTAATAGCCTAGGTCCATATTACATCTATCTCAGACCCCTGTCATCTGCATTCAACACTTCAGTTATAGAGGCGGGAAACATGTCGACTGTTGCGCCGTAGTCTGGCTCTTGGGAAATATCCTATGATGCATCGCGCTCAGTTTTTTACATGTGCCTCATATTCTCCCATCATGCATAACAGCTTCTAAATTGTATCACTCTCGTGTTGTTTGGTCACCTGTAGTAATGTGAAAAACATGTTGCACGAAAAAGTACGTCAGTAGACTGAAAACTGGTTGGCTGGTGGGTAAGCATGCACAGCATGTAAGATGTTTACGATCAGCAGTGTCCCTTGTCAGCTCTAGTGGATTGCTGAGCATACGGACATTCGCAGCACACCTGCGTATGCACAGAAGCCCTGCTGTCGCAATTTTCGCACTCCATATTCACTGAAAATTCCAAGCACCAAGCTGCCGTAGAAATGCGGATGGGACGCACGAGCTGTTCGAAGCTCGTCCACACTCAGAACACACGCACATTCACCTTTCCGAGAGAAATGCATGAAATGGGCAATTATCCCGCATCTCTGCGATGCGATCATCACAAAGACTGTGCACTCTGTGTCCCATTGCGAGTATTAGCAGTCATCTGGATCCCATAATTAAGTTGGCTACACCGGACGAGCAGGTACTTCTCGTCTTCCGCATTGAACGCATTCAGAATTGATGTAACGCTCGGTGATGAACGCCGATCATACGTCAGTTAAGCGACATTTACGTTGCAGCTTGAGCATTGGTAACTCTAAAAGATCATGTTATAATGGTCATTGGTCTGCCCTTAGGATACAAACTGTTAAGGGAATCCGTTCATAGAAGCCGTTCCAATCTGGTTCCGTTCTTCTATTCTCAATGTAAGCCCAATCAACCCAGCTTAAAGCTCAATAATCAACAGGCAACTAGGGTGAGCACCTTTTCCGTTGGAGCATGCCAATGAAAGCACTTTGAGCTAGCCAACAAGAGCGCTTTTTTATCTGGTATTTTCTGATAGCTCAGCATTTTTATCTATTGAACTATGTGTACAACGTTGTTGTTCGCCAGGATCATGCCAGCATTAGCGATAATGTGTTTGGCGAAGCCGCGTACACAGACGACTGGGCATGCTGCGTCCAGTGACCGTGTGTGTTGTTTGCTCCGGATTTGCTGCCTGGTTGCTTAACTCATCGGACCCGTATTTTCCCCTCGTAACATCACTGGGCTCTGGAGAAATTTCTGGGGAATGCTGCGAATCAGTGGCGGACACATCGACAGTAAAAATTTACAAGTCGGGTGACGTAGGACAATTCAATTCCTGACACTGGTCACAGTACATGCATATTGTTGGCTTATATATGCAGCGTACTAGAAGCCCAGGTGAAACGAATGAGCCCGGAGGACCTGTATAAAGGAAGGTTAACCTGAACTGAGCGTACCCAATCAGCGTTGTGATGCTGTAAGGATGTGCACACACACAGACATGACGCGTCGGCGCTTTATGCAGTGCTTCACGCTGCGATACCGCTTTTCTCCATAGACATTCACACAAGACGACTTGTTCCGATTGGATGTGCGAAGATAGTGCCTAGGGCACTGCAAACGACGATCGTTCAATCACCAAACATCCCATTCGGAAAATTGCATCCCCTCGAACACTGAATCCATGCTATGCTGCCGCATTTCTTCGCATTCACTTGTGGGTATCACACCTGCGCGGGCTTTACCCATATTCGGGTTGTTCATTGTTGTTGATCCGGCTTCTTACGCTGTTGCGTTCTGCAAGTCGGTAAAATCATAGAGCTGTTCTTTAACTTGATCTTTTTTTGTGAACGTCGGTTTGACATGATTGTTGGATCCTAAGAGATGCCACTTCTCTTGTTATCTGCTTTTCGCTTAGTTCCGTTCGTGACTACCGTGCAGGCTATGCCCAGTCCCTTCGAATGCTTCAGACGGCTAAGGAATATGATCAACAAGTGTGCAGTTCCAAACAGGGTGCCTCGTCGACGCTGATTACCAAATCTAGCTTGATGCTGGGGTTGGGGGAGACAGACGAGGAGGTGATGACAGCTCTGAAAGACCTCCGTCTCGCTGGAGTGGACTGCGTCACTTTGGGCCAGTACATCCAACCGACTCGTCGCCATCTTAAGGTTAGTATTTGATTATGTAATTTGTAATCGTTACGCAAGACTAATACTCAACAACCTTTTATATTTGTTCGTTTCCAACCACTAAACAATGGGTGGAAAGTGAGTCTGTTACCGAGGCACCTTAGCCGACTGCCGTGCTTAAAGCACTAGGCAGGGCAGGTTTTGACTGAACGAGTTCTGTTGCTTGGAAGTGGACTCATCAATTGATTTATCAATGGGACTTGCAAAGCATCAGCATCGTTTTGTGCTTAAAGCACACCACGTTTATGGCTATTTGCCCAACATTTTTCTATTGTCCACCCCGTCTTAGATTCACCTACAGTGGGTGTCTTGTTCACGCAGTTGTCGTTATCGGCAATGGACCAAACAGCCTCACAATGCATTACCTCATCTGCTCTACCTGATAGAATTCGTATTCTTTGTGGATTTATTCTATGCGAACTATCAGCGTGATCGCCTACCTTCCCATAAGACCGGGTTGGACGGATTCACGTCTGTGCTTACGTGACCACTGTTGTCAGTCCGTGGACCCAGCATTTGTTTTGTCTACACAATTATTTCTTATTTTACAATCCTTACTTTTACCGTCCATCCAATGGGACTTGTGAAGTGTTGTCTCTTGTATCTACAACACACTATTGTTCCCCTTTTCGTAACGCGACTTGTAATCACCGGGATCTTACATGGGGCTCACGAAGTTATCTAACCGGTGGAATGAAATTGGACCTTGTTCACCAAAATTTATTCACCCTAGAGCCGGATTTAGTTCAAATGGGGCATGTTACCGACTGGACGTGCAACGTGTCAGTTCACATTCTTCACCACGCCATCTGAACTCCCTCCTCTCTTGAAGTACACAGCTCCCATATCTCCAGACAGAATTTTTTTTGCATAACATCATGCCATCCATCCAAACCAAACAGCCTAGCTTTGCTCCATCATAATGAATTAATTCTGCTTTGGATTAGAAACCTCAGTCTACTGTTCAAACATTTGAGAGATGAAGGAATCCTTCTCGGAATGGAACCACCGTTTGTCGCCTTTATGCTCTTAACGTTAGCCCTTCTGGCAACGTGTTCCTGATCGCCTCAATACCCTGGACATCCACCGCACAGAATAATTCGCTCCTGCCACCTAATCGGACTTCTGTACTACTGCCCTAAACATGTGATGGGGTTTTCGAACTTGGGAATTTCCTACAACTCTTAGCTTATCCGACTAGCGGCTATACTTGCTCATAAATGTGTTATTCTAGTGATGTAGAATGACTGTCTGTGCCAAACAACTCTCTAGAAAATAAAAAGTAAGATTTTGCGACTGAATAAGTTATACATCGAAGCCGTTTTGTGCAAACACAACTACAGAGATCTATGGAAACTTTTAAATCAGCTATGCGGTTAATGCACCAATAAGCAGATTGGGTCTGTGGATTTAAAATCAATTTTGAGTTCTGTTCTTCTTCACAGGGGGCATCCACAACCCCTTCATTCTCTCTGCCTTTGTTCCCTTGCTCTGGTCCAAAAATTACATTCTAACATGCTGAAGTCAAACTTGAACTCTGAAATCTGAAGTCAAGGATGGCTAGTGGACCCGATGCTCTTTCACCAGTTGTCTTGAAAGAGTGTGCTAATACCCTCACCATGACCTTGACGGATCTTTCTAATCGGTGCCTACACGGTAGAATTATTCCCGATATTTGGAGACCTGCCAGGGTAACACCCGTGCCAAGGAAGGGATCCACGAAATTCACCCCGATCACCTGTACTGTACATCCGTCATGCTGAAACTCTTTGAGCGACTACTTGTGCCTTCGATCTCAACAGGCACTCCAGCCGTGGACGTATCTCAGTTTGCGTACAGACCCCAACGTTCCACGTTGAATGCCGGAGCACATCTTGTTCACTCCAGAGCATCTTCGTTGGATACGAAATTCAAAAGTGTGCGGCCCCTCTTCCTTGATTACGTCGACGCTTTTGTCAGTCTCGGCAGATCAGTCCTAGTTAATCAGCTGTCTGAGAATGGTGTTCAACCAGCAGTGTGCAACCTTGTGATCAACTATTTCATAAACCGATCTCATTTTACCCAGCCAAACGGTAAAAACTCCCACACTCTTAGAGGTGACTGGGGCGTCTTACAGGGAACAATTATCTATACAGCGAAATGCATTCAATTCTCGTCAACTTTATTAGACGAGAGTACACTGACAACATAGTCTAAAGCAGCATTGCTCCAACTGTTGAATCATAAATGGCTCTGTAAATTGTCATGTACGAGCTTCAGCAGTGGTCGTCATCCCGATCACTTACTCTCAACGCTTCCAAATGCCGCGATGTGACTTTCTCTTTTCTACGCACTGACAAACGTCTGACTGTAGCAAGCACTTCTCCCTCCATGGTCATAAGCGGCCACAATATACCCAGTTCATCCACCGTCTTAATCAACACACGTTGACGGAAGGTTCCGCAAGGTGTGGAAATTGTCATTCTATGCCTACAGACTCAAAATGCTTTTAGTGCCCAGCTCTTTAATTTACATATACGTGACTGTCTGTGTTCTTCCCCATTGGTTATATTGTTTGCCTATCGTTTTTCCTGGTCTTCTACAAAAAGACTTCACATTGATTATGCGTTCCATTGAGTTCATTTCCAAGTGTAGCGAATTGCCCAGCCTCTGATTGACTTTATCCTTACTGAGCACTTTAGTGCATGCGACAACATTTCAGCAAATGTTTGAAATCACCCTTTTCACCCTGATGTATCTAAAGCTTTAAATTTAGCGTTTTTTTAGTCACACAACACATTATCACAACTCTACCTTACCGGATTTATCCTCTTTTCTTGTTGACTCCAGGAAACTTATCAGCACCACGCATGAACGCTTACTTGAGTGATATGCATGCATGTTTTCTTCTGTTCACGCTTTTATTGCAATTCCATGCTTTCGTTATGCCTCGCTACATCCGCATTGCTAGTGTACATGTGCTGAAACTGTTCCCAGTCGGGTTCATAAAATCCATTTTGACTTGACTTACTTAGGCCTGGTATACCACAACGACCCAAGCACAATGAGCTCTTACATCAGCCTTCCACTCTACTTCTTCAATAGGGTTCATCTGGGATATACTGTCTATTTTTCCTTTTCCTCTTTGCAGCATGGAATGTCCACCATAGGTTAGAAGGGGTAATTAGTACCCACACCTGCATAACTGAAGGAGGCAGGAGTTAGTTATATTGTCAGTAATCATTCTAACCTTCCTAGTGGCTTTATGCAGCGCGGTATGAACAACGCGAGGTCCAGCCCCTCTATTGGTTCACGTGAACAAAGGGTAGTTATGACGTCGTTCTGGAATCCATCTTGTAGATCACCAAGACTACAACGTTAATGTACGTGCTGATCGCCACATCAAGTCAATGCTCGTATGCCGCCAATAATTTTACAACCGTCATCCGCATAGCTCATCCACCTCGATCCATTTGAGCTTGTGAAGCATGATCCGGGCTTACACGTGCAACGAACGATCCAATTGAGATGGCTTTTGTCACCATAAAAGGAATAGTGGTAAACAATACGAATGAGAACAGCATCGTGAGAGAAAATGGCGAGAGTTTAACTGTAAGATGGAGGAGTTGCTAATTAAATCTAATGGATCTAACGAAGCAAGTCATTGCTGTCGGGACCTTCACTTGTCATAATGAGTCTATCGGCTAGCGTGTCAATCATATTAGACGAATCGGGAAATTCGTTGTCCCGACCGTCTTTCTACTCACCTTTTCACACCATCTTCTCATTTTATTGGTGGACCACTCTCGGGTTTCACCCAGCCGTACATAATGTTGGCAAGCAATACACACCGAGCCAGTCTGCCAGCAGGAAGGAACAATTATCTATTTTAGGTTCGATGGATCTGTTGCCCGCCCACAATTAACGGACTCACGCATCGCTGACTCGTCCTTCCGTTAGGGAGAAGCCATCAGTCGATTAACGTCCTCAGCACCAGGTGAGCGTGTGCTTGCTCTATACAGGAACACTGATGACATAGCAGCGTTGCACGTGACACCTAACGCCATGTTCTGACATCGCATCGCTACCATAGATGGCGCATACCTTGGGAAGCCGCACACACCTTACTGGTACACAACCATTTTTTCATTGTTTTCCTCATTGGAAAGGAGACAGCTATCCGTATGATTGAGTTGATCGATCAGTTCTGCTTGTTACCAGGTCCTAATCGTCCGGATCTGTGTGGAACTGTTCTCCATACGTCGCCCTGGATGTCTTGGTTAAGTTCTGTGAAATCCTCAGCTCTACTCATCCCACATCTTGATATTGCGCGCGGGATGTACTTCAAAGGAATCACACTCAAATAACGCCATGGAATCGTACCAGCAGATGAGGAAGTTTGTAAAAATGGCCTGTTTATTCCGATTCGTGCCCAAACAACCCGACTTGCTTGTTGAGTGAAATGTCGAAAGTTGTTATTGGAAGTGATGGTGGGCACCGGGTTGTGATGTGGGCACCCGACGAGTTTTATGGTGCCATAGTTCTTTTGGCTTCATCCAAAGTAAGGCTAAATATTTCCAGAAATATGGAGTGCCCTAAGTGTCCACAAAATTTCATCCAGGTAACATATTTGCACTAAAAAATATGAACATACACATATAATGGGTGCATTGTTTTATGAAGTTTGTTCTTTTTGTGCAATTTTCAATTGCACAGGTGAAGGAATACGTGCACCCAGACAAATTCAAATACTGGATCGGTGTGGGAAACCAATTGGGATTTTTGTACACCGCCAGTGGTCCACTGGTTCGTTCTTCTTATCGTGCTGGAGAATTCTACATAAAAAACATTTTGAAACAAAAGCGAGAAACCAGTTACTTATGAGCCTTCTATTTTACCTGCCGACGTCGTCACGACTTGTCGTCAAAATCTAGTCGCACAGAGTTAATTCTTCGTATGCGCCAATCGGTTAGTGATAATTTGTCTTATTTTTTTCAACTTCCTTGAATAAATGTCGATCGCTTCACAATGTCTTTCTTTTACCCCGGGTACATCAGTTCAGTTCAGTGCAGGTGACCAACTCTGATCCAAGCGCCGAAGTACGATGAATCCAATTGCCGTGACGTTCATTGCCAGAATAACAGTAAATAAAGGTAGGAAAATGAGGTAGAATACGAATTAAACACAAAATACGAATTTGAGAAAGATGCGCATAAAACTACTCGCAATAGAATGAAAGTAAACAGTTAGATGCAAGAAATCGAACATGAGAATGCAAATGACGGCGGCATGTCCAATAGCGTTTGCAAACATTGGTATTGACCATCCCTGGGCCTCCACGCACAAAGCTAGCGTGTACCAGCATGATCGGGTGTCATCCCATGATATATGTACATATATATATATATATATATATATATATATATATATATATATATATATATATATATATGGTTGGCGGGAGAGCCTATGGTGCGCTGAGGCTGGTGGTTAGATCCTGACAGATGGTCTACCCACTGCTGCTACTGCTGCGCCATAGTCTCATGTCCTGGGCGCCTCCACGTGGCGACCGCTGGGTGGGAGTTAGGTTTCGCCGTTCTCCCTGCTAAGATCCAGGACACCAATCCGCATGAGTCAGCTAACTGACCATGTGCTAGACCCGCTG